TGATGGAGGAAATTTGAAAAATGGGTGCTGAATGTTGGAAAATGTATTTAAAAGCTCAAGTTCACACGTGAAAGACAATTTAATTTATAATATTTGGAAAAGGAACTGGGTAAAGAAATCAGAACAGCAATTTAGGAGAAAAAAATATGCAACCTGGTGACGTATTGAAAATGGGAGGTGACAGACCGGGAGAAGCACAAAGAAGAATCCTGGTTTCCAGTATGCATAAATTAGGGCACATAGGAGGAGGGTATTCTGGAAGAAAGATCATGAATTTATTTACAGACATGGTGACTGACATGTTTTTTAAACTAAAAGAGATTCATGCTAAACATAAAAAATGTGGAGTCACCAACAGTACAGAGAGTTACTAAATGTACAAGATGAATGAGATTAGCTACAAGGTGGCTACAAAACCAAACAACAAAAAGCCAGGACAGAAATTTAAACCTTCATTAAAGTCAGGAAGAAAAAAGTGACTCAGGAAGCATGAGAAACTCCAGGAAGGTAAGAAAACCAAGGCACTTTGCTAATCAGTAAGTCAATGGAGGATTGTTCTAGGGACCGAGAAACAGCTACACACTAATGAGAGATAAAAAACCACGAGACTGCAGGAAGTCTACTGGATTTCATGACAGAGATCACCCAAGAGGTACTTTGTATAGTCTGCTGAGGTCAGATATAAGTGTCTGAGAAAAAGAAGAGTAAGGGCAGCAACTGAAAGAAAAGTAGGTAGAGGTGAAGATGGTAAGACTTACTAGGATTTTCTCCCATTTAAGATAATATCATCTTTCCTCCAAACTTCTTATTACTCTATTTTTCTTCAACATACTTACCAACATGTGGTATGTTTTAAATTTGATGTGTTTACTGTTTTATTTATCTTGCCCACTGGAAGAAAAATTTCTTGAATGAATAAGGGAGGTGTATGTATGCATATAATTAAGATAACAGTGACCTGAGCCCATTTAAATGATGAGGGAAGGGACCCAGAAGATGCACAATTGTTAGGTACCAAATGGGAAGAGATAATGATAAGGTTTAAAGTTTCTGAGAATATGCGTAGAGAACCTAGGTGGAGTAATACACAACAATCTTTTATGGTAACAGGAGAGAAATAGAAGAAAACAATAGATACAATTTGGTCTAGCAGGTTAAAACATGGGAAAGTCAAACAAGGCCATTATTGTCTGATGAATTCTAGTTGCACTGTAAAATTAGTTGCATAAGGTTATGTAAAATTGGATGCATGAAGTCATCTATGAAGAGTAAGGAAGAGGAGACTTTGTATGATGCAAAGAGAGGAGAGAAAGAGTTGTAATAGATATTTAAACAGAATAAGGAAAATCTGAGTACCTGTCAGATGTCATATATTCTAATAGGCATACCTGTGATTTACATTAGAGATTTACATTATACAAACAGACTTCTGCAATATGTGTCCCATAAGTTTGCCACTAATGGAATAGACTAACCAATGGACTGGTCAAGAGATGTTGTGCACACATTTGTGCATATATCTAAATATGCACATTACCTAACTTCACCCTCGCTAATACTGCAAGTCAGGTACTACTGACCAATTTTATAGATATAACTGTCATTCATTTAAAACTAAACCAGGTCATATAGCACGTTGCTTAGAATCTTTTTATTGCTATCAGAGGTTCCCAGCTTAGTTTCACCCATTACAATCTACACTTGTCATCTACTTAATTTATTACAATTAAAGATATATAGTTTTCTGAGTATTGGTTGAATACTAAATTACCATCAATTCAATGTATCATGCTTGATATTGATTTCCAAGAAAGCATAAACCATGTACAAAAGAAATGTCCAATAAATGAAATAGCTATTTTTTAAAGCTACAAATTGGCCTAACCTTGTGAATAACAATAATTTGACAGTATCTACTATATTTAAAATGTGCATACCCTTATTATCCAGCAATATTACTACACGCATAAACATAATTAAAATAGATAATACAGTATGCATAACATAGTTGTATTAATGTAGCTGAGCTTTCTCTGTAAGACAAAAATGTCTAATTACTAATAAAATAATTAAATACAGAGCTAAAACACATACACTAGTATGTATGTTTGAGCATGTGTGTATATAACGATAGAAAACAAAGCTCGGAAAATTTTATGTACATAAAGGCAGTAGTTATGTCTAGGATATGGGAATGAGGAACAAAAGGGAAGAACTTTCACTGTCTGAGAAAAGTAACACCAGTGAGCTCTTCATTTTATATTTACAAAATAAATACATGGAGAGAAAAGCCATAATGATGTGCACTAGTGAAATGCACCAATCCATAATAAAATTAATTCTACTTGGCAAAAAAAAAAAAAAGGAGAAATTTTCAGGTTAGGTCCTCCCAAATTATTTTCTCTGTGTACAATATAGGTATTAAGTCAAGTCTAAAATGACAATTTCAAATGATGTACAAAAATATAACCAGGATCTCTGCAGATATATAAATGTTTGAGATACATTAAACTTTTTTATGACTACTGTTTTAAGTTATATAGATTTGACAATGTGACTTTTAATCTTTAAAAGAGATCCAAATGACCTAAGAAATCTGACCTAGAATGTCTTATACCTTTATTAGACAAAAACAGTACACATAACAAACAACATCATCATTCAAAGCTAATACAAATAAGACCTACTAAAGAAGAAGGAATGGTTACTAATCTTCTACAGAAGAATCAGTTGAGTATTTTACCAAAGTAAATAAATTTTCATTATAAGCTAATAGCTTATTCCAAAACAACTGATATCCTTTACTGAAAACAACCTGCTTCTCCACCTTCAAATTTTAGTCAGAAATTTGGAGATATTCCAAATATATAACTAACGAATTCTGTAACAATAATTTATTACTCATTACTATAAAGAATTCTGTTCTGAATTATTTTACTTTTTAAATTTACTCTCCTTCTCATTGTATTACCATAGTTCAAATAACTCTTATACCTAAAGGTTTAGACATATGATTGTGTACTTATTGTATTCTCTTATAAAGACAATATTTTTATGTCTTATCTAGTAATAACTGTCCTGAGAAATTTTGCTTCTGTGTATTTGTGCTTTTTAAAAATTATAATTTTCTATTCTTTAATTTGCAAAGACATATTTTATCGGTGGTTGATTGTTTGGACTAGTAGTAGTAAGTCCCTAAAACTGAAACTCGTAAAACTGATTAGAAGTGATTTACTCTGTAGGACCTTAATATAGCCAACTTGACAGCCAGTGGAAAAGAATACATAATATTACCTTCTAAGTGGTATTTTTATAATGTAGAAAGCATTCTGGAGTTCGATGCCAGCCTGCTACATTAAACTACATAGTGAATTTAAAGCCAGCCTAAACTATGTATTTAGACTGCCTCAATACAAAACAAAAATTTTAAAAATACTAGTTCTGTCATTGAATAATAATGATATTTATATTCTCAAAGCATCATGTTTATCTCTCAGAATCACTGTGAAGTTAAACTATGTATAAAGTAGCATGTTTTTAAAAATCTCTTTATAATAACTCAATACAGCAGGAATTAGTAATTATATTCCAGTATCCACTGAGACATTTAATGTATAAACTGGTAGTCACCAGTCCATGTGCAAAAATAGAACTTTAATCTGTAATATGCAGCAACCTGTCCAGGAAACCAATACTTTCAATAAACAATCCAGGAAGAATAACTCAGAATTGTAAGAAGCCAAATTGATATCTCCAGTGACAAACAGACCCAAATGTCCAACTCTTAACTAATAACTGACAGCTCCAATTTTTGTCCTTGTTTCTATAAGAATCAACTAAAAGAAGCCAAATGTGTACTCCTAACCAATTACTAGGATGCCTCATTTCTAATAAATTCATCTTTGCTTTCCCAGGCCAATAGCCTTGAATCAGAGCATACCTAAAGCCTTCTCTTTTTAAGTCTCTGCAAAAATCAAAGTGACAATGGCTGACTCTTGCTATAGCAAGCTTTGAAGAAATGCCCTTTGCTTGGTTCATTTAGTCTTGCTTGTTTCCACACTGTTCAGCTCCTCTTTCACTGTAACAGAATTTTCCTTGGACACATGGCCACTGGAACAAAGATTATATATCACCCTTTTCTTGCAACTAAATAAACTCAAGAGATTATATTTTGGTCAAAGGAATGAGGCTAAAAATACTACAGGAGCATACAGAGGTAGCTTCAAGATGCAGCCAGCAAATACTCATTTTGTCTCCTCAGCCTAGAGTGACTTGAGCTGAAAATGGGTTTGTTCTTGAGATCTGACCAGGTATGAGTCACCTTATTAGCTTCAAACATTTATGTGATAGAGAATAACAATAATAGCAGTTACTATTTAGGTAGTTTTATAATGTGTAGCACTATTCTAAACTTGTAATAAATATTAAACATTACAACAACTTTGTGAAATAGGCTCTATTATTACATTAAGAAAATGTGGTACAGAGAAGTAATTTGCCTATGAACAAACAATTTTGAAGTTACATTTATTTTGGAGGTTTCTATTACTTGCAGGTGAATATAAACCCAATTAATACGCCCTTGGAAAAGAAAATTTTAAATAGTCAAGTTGGGGTTTGATCCTCAATGTCTCTTTTAATGAGTTCCTCCCAGAAATAGGGCAAGATGCTCTACAATCTCTTTCAGACCTCCTTTCCCCAAGGTCCAAAGGCTTAGGCTCAAGAAAAACCTCCTCCGAGAAATCAAGCTGCAAAACAGTAATTTTAGGTTATAGAAGACAAATCTTTCGACCTGTTTCCAAGTTGGTTTTGGAGTGTTTGGATAATTCCAGGGACGAATATGAAATTCACCAGGTAATCATCATCACTATCACCTATTATTTATTTTGCACCTATCATATGCTAAACATAGCATTGGCGTTTTTAATATGCCTATGTTATAGACAATTCTACAACAAAAAACACAAAGCTTTAAGGTAAAATAAAAAAATAAAACCTACCTTTATCATCCTAGATAGATCACCAGCATCTGCTAATTCCAAAACTATGTTTAGTTCATTATCTTCAATGAATGATGCATAATATTTAATTACATTTGGATGGTTGAGTTGCTGAGAAAAAAAAGGTATAGAAAAGTCTGTTTTATATTCCAAAGAATCGCTTAGTTTTGTAATTCAATAAAAGCTTAGTCACTACATTTCATTTGTGTATCTCATAATTGTTAACATGACATACTATATTCCTTTAACTTAGTAAATTTTAAAACATAATTATAAGTAAAACCAAGTATGAGTTAATTTTATTTTAATATGCTTTGTTAAAGAAAGTATATGTAAAGTACTGCTGTTTATAAGTATTTAATAGATTCAATATGTGAACTGAAGAATTAAATCACCAATTGCTAAAAATTGTATCTTTCAAAATAAGAACTATCATTTAAAGCATTTTGTAGTAAATACAGAATCTCTTTCAGGTCCTACATTGAAGTCAGGATGAGTTCTAGTGTAATAGAATAGAATAGTGTAATAGTTCTAGCACACACATAAAAAACTAGTATGTGCTATATTTAAATACTGCTTTTACATCAAATAATATAAATACACAGAACTAATCATCTCTTGGAGAAATTTCACCTTATGAAAATATATGCATTAGTCTTTACATTTAGAATCCTTTTTGTTTAATAATTATTAAACAAACAATATTCAACACAATAATTCAAAACTGATGGGTGATTTTCTTCTTTCTACTTAAAAGTTTTCCTTCATTTTTTTCTTTAAGGATATGTTATTTCCGTAATGAAGTATATACTTACTCAAACCAGTAACTTCATGTGCCAGAGTAACTACAATCAATTGAAGACTAAGAAAGCATAGCGCTGACTTTTCTCTGATCTTTTTGGACAAAGCTGATTTGTTTTAGGGGTTAACAAATGTATGGCATGGGGGCTGGGGATTTAGCTCAGCGGCGTAAGCACCTGCCTTGCAAGCAGGCGGTCGTGAGTTCGATCCCTGGTACCAATAAAAATGAAAAAGACAAAAAAAAAAAAAAAAAAAAAAAAAAAACAAATGTATGGCATGAAAAACACACAATTTAACCTGAAATTTTAAATATAATATAAGCCATACTGTGTTTTAAGAGAAATCTCACTTGAAAAGAAACAGACAGTGCATAGGCAACTGGAATTTTAGTCATTTTTTTAAATAGGTAAGAAAGTAAAAGACATACTCTTCATAAATTCATCCATTCTAAATCAGGAAACAATTAAGAAATATTTCAAAACATATGAATGTATTGAACTCATCCACATTTTCCACATAACAGATTTTAAGAAAAAAACTAATTCATTTGCACTGTTACTTAACCTTTTGAATATGCCTAGTTGGGAGGGTCCAGAAAAAATTTCTTGATATATTCCCATTTATTTATTCCCTATTTTGAAAAAGTAATTCCATCAAATGTTTTAATTCAAGTATTTTACAATAAATTCAAAAGGTCACTGCATTTTTCAATATACTGGCATTTGAACTTACAGAATGTTACTCAGTATCAGAATGATAGAAGGTTAGTCTTAACCTTTTTACCTATGAACGTGGTATTTTTAAAAAGTCACTTTTTCAAGCACACTTGGAGTATGTTGATAAAAGTACATAGTTTAATATTTACCTTGAGGAGATCTATTTCTTTAATGCAATCAGCACGTGCTTTGGCATCCATTAAATCAAATATCTAAAGACAGAACCCAGGATTAGCAAAACAATAATGTACGAAATAGAATCCAGGATTAGCAAAGTGATAATGTACACACACATACACACATGTGTAGAGAGAAAACACTTAAATCCATACACACGCACAATTATGTATCAACTAAAAAATAATTTAATGTGGTGGCGCATGCCTGTTTTTATCCCAGCACTTGGGAGGCTGAGGTAGGAATATCGCTGCAATCTCAAGGCAAGCCAAACTAAAAAGCAATACTTGGTCTCAACAAAACAAACAAACAACAATGTTTTAAATAATCAGTGTGGAGATATTAAATAAAATTTCAAAATAAAAGTAAACACTATGAACTCACATTAAAAATTATTGTCAGGAGCCTCCCTTTAATTACAAATGCATGATGTTTTTACATAATAAAAACAGCAGCAGTATATAAAATGGGTATGTGATTTTTCTTTTAACATTATAGCAAAAATAGCTGTCATGTTTCTATTTAGTCTTTACTTACTATGGCTTTATATTAATTTCATACTTTATCAGCTTTAACATGAAATAGTTGAGTACTGCATATTACTGTTTGAAAAAAATTAGATGGCATCAAAATTTCTCCCATTTAATCAAGTAATAGGAAGAGAAATGTATGTGCTGGTATATGTATTAAAAATAATAATTTTTCTCCACTGGTAATAATACAAAACATCTTAAACATTGAACTTGTGCCAATTACTATGATTTCAGAATATAACATAGTGGGACACAGTAAAACAGAACAGAAAGAAAGAAAGAAAGGAAAAAAAGACTGGCAAATCATCCCACATGAAATATCTAGTAATACAGTATTTTCTGCAAACATGAAGCCCCTGTATTATCAAATTTTGGTAAAATGATGCAATAGTTTTATCTAAATGGACACTAATAGCAGGGATAAAGAAATAAAACAATGGCGAAAAATCCACCAGCAATATTAAACCATATACAGTGTGATATGCTACTTCCTGAAAGAAGGAAAAACATCATATACTAAAATTCTCTCCCAAAGCATCAGAGTTTTATTCCACACATAGACGACAGATTACAAAACCTAACCTTGGGTACATACAAACTTAAATTATTCAAGGCTACACCACATTGAATGCCACCTTATTACCAGATTTTATTACAGATGCCAAGTAAGAAAGCAAGCTTGCAGTCCTTAGAGATGTACAATGTCAAATGCAGAATGTAGACTGAAACACAGATAATTAAGATGCCAAGTAGTAAATGCTAACTGGTCAAAGTCATGCTAGACCCTTACGAGGCTCAGACCATGGCTGGTAAAGCCCTCAACATTTAATTTATTCAAGCAGATATGTATACTGTCTTTCAGATTTTTATTTTTAAAAATACAAAATCAAAAGCTCTTCACTTACAGGAATAAGCTTTACATTTAGTAATTTCACAAAGAAAAGCCACTTATCTCCTGAAATTGGTAAAAAAAAAAAAATGGGTGCCACAGAAATGATGATGTTTCTATGTAACCATTATAACAAATATAGACATACAGAGAAAAATTTAAACCTGATGCTAGTCAGAGGCATAAAACACACAGAGACTACCGGTACTTAAAAATCAAAAATGACTGACTTGCCAGATCATGAATCCTGATGCTATTCTCACAAACTGCTGTTTATCAGGAACCTGAGATAATACCATGTGCTCAGAGGAAAAAATATTAAGAGTTTTTATTTTTTGGATCCAAAAGAATGGAAAAAAAATTTAAGAAAGGATAATGTTGGCATCATTGACTGAAATGAAGAAAAATCAGAAACTTGGTAACACATACAAATATAATTTCCCAATAATGGATGTCATTACAATGGGAAAAATTACTTTTAAAGAGTAAGAATAGAATAAGAATATGTGTATTTTTAATTTATATCAAGACACAAGCTATGTAGAATCACAAATCTTTAATTCAACTTATAATTAAATTAGAATTACAAATTTATTTTCTTTTCAGAGTTTTGTTGTTTAAAAAAAGTTTTTACTTAGTACATGCCTGCAGTAGGTCATGATTACATTCATCCTGGTGATTTGGTGTATATAAATAACACATCTTAATTCATTTACTTCCCCTTTCCCTGCCTTCCCTCCTTATCTCCATCTCTTTGTTCCCTTGCCACTTGCAAAAGATCTCCCTCTTTCCTCTTCTCTATCTTCTAGTCTTTTCTTTAAATTTTTATACTTTGGCTTCTCATATAAGAGGACACGTGTGATATCTAAACTTTTTTTTATTTTTAAGTAAATTTTCATTGGTATCAAAAGACAGATCTCAAATACTGAAAGCATGGATTGCTGTTACATTTAATGCAAAACTAAATACATTTAGTAAAAATTGAAAAGTACTGTATTTTTTTTTCTTAGCAAGTCAAACAAAATACTCAATTTTTAGAATAACTTATTTGCAGACATAAATTCAAAGCAGTCTGCTGAATCCACATGCAAGAAAAAAAAATATATATGAAGAAAAAAATCTGGACTTTGTAAAAAATAATTTAGGTATGTATAAACAAATCTTCAGGAAAAATCTTTTCTGGCTCTATAAATGTGTCTTTGGGTTGGAAAACTGTAATTCATTAAGGCAAACTTATTAGCTACAGTTAAGAAAGTTCTGGCGGTACCATTTTTGGTACCATTGTGAAAGCCATCTTCTGACATTTTCAGTCTTTGCCAAAATTACACTCAGTGAAACTGAAAAGACTAACACTAGATATTTTAAAGAGAAAAAATTTTCTTTCAAGCAACTTCCCAGGCATGTGACAAACTGTTAGGAAAAGACACATAAAATGTTTTTTTAAAAAACTATTTAAAAATACATTACTGGGAATTTAGCTCAGCAGTGTGAATGCCTACTTGGCAAACATGAAGTCATGAGTTTGATCCCTGGTACCAAAAATATAACATATCATATCATATCATATCATATCATATCATATCATAAAAAAGATTACTATTGGGGAGACAGCCAGATCCCAGCCTTTTCCCACAAGTCAGTGCCATTCACAGACTGCAGGAGAAGCCCTCTCTGTGATTCAGCACCATGTGCAGGCTACTGGGGGTACAGATGCCAGCCCTTTCTGGCACATGGGCCAGGAAACAAGAAGAGCCCACACCTCTACAGAGCCGAAATTCCCCAACCTCCCCAACCCCTACCAGCTGATCTGGAGAAACACAGGCTGTGATGGTAAGTATTGAGGTGAAACAATTTGATGCTGGTGCTGTTTGGTGTTGCACTGACTGCAGGTCTAGGGCCAGTGTTCTGATCATTCAGAGGACAATAGTATGCAGTGCAGCATCCATGGGGGATCTCCTTCTGAAGGTGGTAATTCCCTATTATGTTGTTTTGACGTTCTATATCATTTTCATTGTTTTGTTGGGTTTTATTCTGTTTTGTTTTGTTTGATTTTGTTATATCTGATGGTGTGGGTAGCAATTTCAAAGATAGTAAGATATATTATGGTAGCTATTTTGGATGTACTCTCATCTTGCTTTGAAGTCCTTTATTGCATTCATTGTTTTGTTTTTATTGGTTCCATTCTGTTCTGTATTGTTTGATTTTTACTATGTCTGAAGATATCTGCAACTATTTTGAAGACAACAAGAGGCATTATGGTAACCATTGTTGATTTCCTATTGTTTTGAAGTCCTGTGTCATTTATATAGTTTGTTTTGATTGGCTTTATTCTGTTTTATTTTGCTTGGTTTTATTCTCTTTAAAGTAATTTTTTTAAAAAAACACTATTAAAAAGAGTTTGACAAACCTGGCATACCTCATTTTAAATATACTTTACATATACTGAAATCTTAGCTAAATATTCCTTAGGCCTCCCTATAGAGTCTGAATAAATGAACTGAGCAGAGCAGCCCAGTCTTCTATGTGGCAGCTCCTTATCCATACCTTTTCACCCTCACCCACAAATACCTCTGCTATTCCACTATTCACCCCTTTCTTAACCTTGGAGATATAACAATGCTTCTGTTCCTCTGTTCGCAACATGTAATGCCTGTACAGACCCTCCTCAACCTTTCTTAGGGAGAAGGGCAGAAGAAAGGAAGCCTTAGTACTTTCCTCCACAAACTCGGTACTTTTGGCCATCACCTTGTAAATTGTTGACTAGCTGACTGGTAGGAAAAAATTTCCTTTCAAGGACTCTCTTGTTTATCTGATCTATCTCTAGATAGACAGAACAATCAGTGTACAAAATAATCTCTAAATACTTCATGTTTCCACAACTTGTCCTTTTCTGCCTAAATACAAAAGAATTCTACAGAGTGATGCTGTGACAGGTAGGAAGAAAAAAATGATAACCATTCAGTAATTCTAAAAATTATTATGTCATTTTAATGTCTAGAAAGATTTAAAAATAAGATAGGAAATACAAATTATCCGATAGAATACTCACCTATTACATGTAGGGCTTTGTGTTTGATCTCCTAACACTGATCATGCAAAAATAAATAAAATTATAACTAAGGCCTGTGTCACCTTTTCAAGCAAAACTGTCAGCACCCTGCTCTCTAATTTTTTAAAGATCATTTATAGGTTATTCTTACAAATGCTTCCTAATTTTGATTTAAATAACTGGAAATTTGAAAGAAGTCCTTAGTGATTAAATGATGAAGTTTGTAACAGCTGCAAAATAAATTTAGTGATCACAGTGAATACTGAGAAAGAGACCAAATATACAGTTATAGAGTATGAATACATTAAAATTATACATGATGGAAAAAAACTTTCATTTTAATTATAGGCTGATATGCAGACTCTCTCACCTAAAAATAGTTTATATGTGCACACAATTTACAGGTAAACAAAGAAATATTAAGTTTCAATGAACTAACATGCAAAATATTTCATCTAACGTTAAAAGACTAAAAATGATCAAAGACATGAGATATAGTTAAATTTCAAGATTGTTACAATCAGTTAAGATACCACCTTACTTTTTGCAAATAAACTCTTATGGGTCACAGGTAAAATTTCAAAAAGACTGGTTAATGTTGCCATATATTACAGATTCTCAGATGTTACCACATGCTAATTTATGACTTCAAAGTAATATGCCGCCAGTATGCACTTCACATATAGAGAAAACAAATCTATAGCAAAGCTCAGCACAAGAGCTCAGCACATTCTTTTTTTAAAGTTGAGGTTAGAAGTACATGTGTGTAGTACAAATGTATACATTCCTTGAGGGAAGTTGATACATGTACCTAACACATTAATTCCTTTTTCCATTCCCTAGGGCCCCATCAACTGGATGATACGGGACAAAGTAAAGACTTTAAAACTAAGTTGAGGAATCCAGATGGTAGCTCCAAATTATTTCATTTAAGATTTGTAAGCAAAAAGTAAACTACAAAAGCATTACTTTATCATACGAACTCAAAGTATTCAGGGAGGACCCTAGCAGAGCTGGAAACAGCAATGAAGCTCTTGAGACAAGTAGCACAGTCCTAAAATAAGTCAGGTGGAGAAATTCATATCTGATTCTTTATGAATTTTAAGAGTTGATTAGAATTCTTCAAAAAGGAAAATCATCTGATTAACAGCACCTTAAAATTGTTTCATTTAAACCTGTAAAAATGATTTTTTTTAAAAAGTAAGAACCATGGGCTTTCTTATCTAGCACAAGTGTAGTATATTACAAGAATCAACATGTTTGAAATGCAAAGGATTAAGACATTCTTCTCTAACTAAACATAACTAAGAACAGCTTTGCAACATCATTTCTCTCTTCTATACAGAAGTTATGTTTAACTTAGAAGAGGCCACATACTAAAACTGAAGAAACATAGTACAAAACCCAAAAGAATAAAGTTTAACTTTCCACAGTATTTTTCCCCAAGAACTAGGGATTAAACCCAGGGCCTTCATCATGAGTTATATCCCTATTTTTTTAACTCCTTCTTTAATTTTTTTTTTTTTAATTTTGACAAGGTCTCGCTAAATTACAAAGTTGCCCAGGTTAGAATCAAACTTGCTATCCTCCTAACTGAGCCTCCAGAGTTCTCAAATTATAGATATAAGCCACCACACCTGGCGATATATAAAGATATACAGAAGTATTTTATTTTTGCAGTGCTGAAAAAGTCACACCTAGGCCTACCACATGTTATGCAAGCACTCTACCACTAAGCCACATGCCCTGTCCTCACAGCAATTTGAGGTTTAACACAGGGTAAAATAAGAAAAATCCAAAGTATAGGTAACTTGTAGAGCAAAATAAGATTGTAGGAAACAAAGAGACAGATCTTTTGGAAATGGGAAGGAGACCAACAGAGGGAGGAATAAGAGAGAAGACAGAGAAAAGAAGTAAAAACAAATATTAAGGTGTGTTATGGACATGTACCAATTCCCCGGATGAATGTAATCATTATGTACAGCAAACGTGGTAATAAAAGTTTACAAAATTTTTAAAAAGAGTTCAGAGGGAACATATAAGACTGAATGGGAATGCAACTGTACAAATTAACTTATGCCTCTTCAAACTTCCAATCAATAGGAAAAAAGTACAGGTAAGCAGAAAACAATTCAGATATAATTCTAAAAAAACCTAGAAGAGCAAAGATAAAAACTAAATTCAGGACATGATTAATTCTAACAAAAGGGAGTGGCAAACACATATCAAAAATATTTTTAGAAGTTGGGCATAATTCTTATCTAGCACTTCCTCCCTTCCCTTTGCTATTCTTAACAATAAGGTCTGCAGTTAAAAAATAATACTAATCACTAGAGACAGAAATCTCTACTCTCTCAGGTTCTGAAAAGGTTGACAAGGAGACAAGGAAGCTCTGGATTTCACAACAGATCCACTCTCCTGACAACTACTCCTACTTCTGGGAAAAGGGGAGTCATCTCTTTATTGCATTCTATAATGCTTTGTAAACTTATTTTAAAAATAATAAAATCTGAAGATTTTTACCTTACTTTACAATCTATAATAGTGAATTGTTGCTTCCTGCCCAAATTATTCTACCTGATTGCAGTATTTTCCACAATTAAATCTCACATTTATAGCTTAATTTAGGTTCGAAATCCAATGGCTCATTTGACATCTCCATTCTTATTTAAACTCTCATTTAAATCAGAAATCCATGCCACAAGGCTTAACAGGGTAATTGTTTTAGATAGTCTTCCCCCCCGCCCGATAGAAATAATATCACTTGCTTATTTCCCTCAGTGCTCCGAAATACATTGTACACAATGGAGTGCTACTCTGCCATAAAAAAGGATACACTTGAGTCATTTGTAGGAAAATGGATGCATTTTTGAAACTACAGTGTTAACTGAAATAAATCAGACAACAAGTTTAAATTTCACAAGCTTTCTCTTATATGAGAAACACAAATTATACAGAGAGAAATGACAGATAATATGAAGTTGGGCAATAGAGCTTTCTCAAATGGGAAGGGGATCAGGGGCTGGGGTAAGCTCAGGGGCATAAGCACCTGCTTTGCAAGCAGATGGTCGTGAGTTCGATCCCCGGTACCGATAAAAATCAAAAAGACGAAAAAAAAAAAGGACTTCAAATATTAAAAAAAAAAAAAAAAAAAAATGGAAAGGGAGAACAAGAAATGGAGGAGGAGGTAAGAAGACAAAGAAAGGGGATAAAAAGAAGAATTGAGATTTGTACAGTACTGTACATGCACTAACTCTACACAACAATATTATGCACTGCAAACATGGACTAAAAAAAAAAGTATGTTTTTAAAATTAATTTAAAACCAGGCACAGTGGCACATGCCTGTAATCTCAGCACCTGAAAGGATGAGGTAGAAGACTTGCTGCAAGTTCAAGAACACCCTGGGCTACAAAATGAGTTTAAGACCAGCCTGAACTGACCTGTTATTGTCTCAAAAAGACAATAACAAAAAAAAAAAAAAAAGACTTCTTTTGTAAGAGAAGTATTACTCTAAAACTTACCTGTCATAAACACTAATATTTACATTTTGTATTATATTTGCTTAAACTCTAAGTGGCATGTTAGAAAAAAAGGTTACAATTCTTATTTGCTGCTCCTAGCAAACTTGTAAACTTTATATTATCTTGTGGTACACATGCATGCATGTGCCTATCGCCTCCATTCTTTGGAACAAATGATACATTTTCACAAGTAAATGTTTGCAAAGATGCACAAGAATACCATGACAGCACTGTTTATATGAGAAAGAAAATATAAACAATCTATATGGCAAGCAAGAACAACTGAACACTTTAAGTTAGTGAGGTCACATACACCAACACAGATTTACTGCTCAGACATGATGCTATATGAAAAATGCAAAGTCACATATCTATATATGAACACATGCTTCATTCATATGTGCAAAAGTGATTTTTTTTTATATTGGAAATTCATACAGATGTAGAAAACTTTAAAAAAAAAACGCAGCGATAAAAACTAACTTCAGGAAATGGTTACTTCTGACAAAAAGAAGTGGCAACCCCACAAATCAAAAATATGTTTAGGAGCTAGGCATAGTGATGCTTGCCTATAATCCCAGCACTCAAGGAGGCTGAGACAGAAGGACTGGAAATTTAAGCTCAGTACAGATCACTTCGTGTCTTAATGAGAGCCTATGTCAAAGTGGGGGGGTGGTGTTTGGAGGGGAGAATATAGTTCAGTGCTAAGGCCCTGGTTTCAATCCCTAGTACTGATAAAAATTACTTTTAAAATATATACTTATGTATATGTAAAATGTTTCTTTCTTAAACTGGGTTGCAGCTAAGAGGGATTATTATTATTTATATGGAACAAAATCTTTCATAAATAATATTTCATTTTTATAATATTAATAAAAACTGTTCATCTTTGTAATGGCAACTGTAAACACACTAATCAACAAAGATATTAGTTGAAAAAGGGAAGTAAACATTGTAAGGCAGAAGATAATGCAAAGGCAGAAAGACAAGTGACTTCTAGGTCAAAGGATCTCGCTGGAGTAGATAAATCTTGGCATGGCTCAGACAAGTAAGCATCCAGAACCTCATGTTTAGTGGGACCAGATGAGGGTTAAGGCAGAACATGGGGGAAAAAGTTGGGAAAAGAGAAAAAAATTTTAAAAAGACAGAAAAGAGTCTAGATTTAAAAAAAAAAAAAAAACCTGACACCATGATGATACTAATACAAAAATGGAAATTTTTTGTTTTTGAGTATACTTTTTTTGAATTAATTAAGTTTATTGGTACATTTTAAAAATGCATAATGATCACTTTCATCACAGGGAGTTTGTACCTGTGCATGACTCAATTTTTCCCGATTCCCTTACCCTCTCTTCAATCTCTCTTATTTATAAAAGTTTTGCATCTATTTCTTCCTTCTTTTCTCATTCTCTTTTCCTTTCCTCCCTCCCTGTCACCCTGTTCCACTTCTTAATTGAGTATTTTCTTCCTGTTTCATAATATGTAGTATACATTAAATCATCTAATTTTATCAACCTCTCTCTTCTCCCAAGTAAATAAAGTTCATTTTGTTTTCCTTTTCAGTTATTGCCACTGAAGCCTGTTTATTATCTTCAGATAATACATTTTGTGGTTGTGATTTCCTCTTATGACATCTCCAGATCTAGAATTCGTTGAGTATTCAGTATCTAGTTAAATATACAGTTGTAACTAATGCTAACAACTCAAATCTACCTTTCAAAAATCTAAAAGCTATGAAAACTTCTGTAGGATCATTCTACTCTGCTGGACATGGGTGAAACAACCAACTTCTAAAGTCTGGGAGGAATGTTTAAACAAAAATTTAGGTATTCCTCTCATTCAGACTTTTAAGATACAATCCTCATTCTTTCTCAGCATTCTTAGCTGAGGTTATCACTTAATCATTCCAGAAGTATCTTCCTCTGTTTTTCATATAAAACAATTTTATAATGATATATATAATTAAAATCATCTTACCTGTACTTTTTTTAAAGCTACTGGTACTCCATCCAGAAGACAGGATGCTCTATAAACTTCACTAAATTGTCCACGCCCAATTTTCTTTTCTATTCGAAAGTTGGCTAATGTATTGTAGCCCATATCCGGTCGTAAGGCCTTCTGTAATCAAAAATATCAGAAAAATTTTCAATTACACAGCATTCAACCATTGATCACTTTAACTTAAATAAGTGGTACAAAAATCTGTAAGGCATAACATTTGCGTACAACAACCCACCCCATACTTTTCTACTGTAAATTTGTACTTTAGCACAATGGCAGTCAGCTTTCTCAGTAGTGACACCTGGGGAATACAGGAAAAAATCTTTATGTTTACCCACTTGGTAGGACAAATGGCAAGGAGTATGCACATGTGCAAAAGTGGGACTTTTACCCACATAATGTTCTAACAGGTTTTGCATATGTTTACCTGAGCATCACAGGGAGTAAAATACACCCACACAGTTATGAAAAAATGTATTTTACCATAATGGACTGTGGGTGTGACTATGCCTGGGGAAAGTAAAAACCGATCTGTGTACTCACCCTTTTGGCAGACAAATGGCAGAGTATGTATAGGAGCACAAACACAGCAATAGGTGAGTTTGACCCAAGAAATGTTGATGTTAAATTTCTGTGCATTTCATTTTTTTTTAAATTTTTTAATTTTTTCATTTTTTCTGGTAGAAGTAGCTCAATGCAGTACCATGGCATATGTAAAACCAGAATTGTAAGTTTTGGAGGAGGTCAAAAGTGAATCATCAGTTTACTTGTGCATAGATGATAAAGATGATAATGTCTCTAACACTGGCCATGTGACCCAAAGTTCCTGTGACAGTAAAATGGAGCAAGAATTGACTGATACAGACACAAGGAATGTAGATTTCCTTGACTCAGATGACAAAGAAAACAGCAATGTGAATACACATTTGAATGGTCAAAATGGCACAAAACAATCACACAACCAAATGGAATAACTCATCATTAGAACTAGGTTCAAAAACATAGTGAGTGTTTTGGCAGGGCTAAAACTCATTAGAAGGAATGCCAACACTGCCATTCAGTGTTGGAAATTGTAGCAGACAAAATGCTACAAGGTGCTGTGAAACACACAAATGCTGAAATACAATTAAAATGTCCTGTATTCAATAAGCCTATTCAAAAATGTATTATAATAGCTCACTAGCTGAACTGAAAGCACTCATAGTTCTACTACACTTAGTGAAGTTTTCCACTGGCAACCACAGGAATGTAAAAGACTTATGGGTATGGGTTTGAGGTTTATACAATAGGGATGACACTGAGATCTGGTTTCTTTCAAAACTGCCTGAAGGTTGATGATGAAACCACCTGTCAAGAAAGAACAAGAACTGATAATCTGGCTGCTATCTGCTCACTGTTTGAGAGATTTGTGGGAACTGTCAAACAACTGAATACACGAATACTGGTGAACATCTTGCAGCATTTCTTGGTCACAGTAGTTTCAGGCAGTTATGTTCCCAAAATGTCTTCAAAATATGGCATAAAAATTTATGTCCTTATAGATGTGAGGACTTATGCTTTCAATTTAGAAATGTATCCTGGAACTCAGCCATCAGGTCCTTATTTGTATAGTAGTACACCAAATGATGTTATAAACGGACTTGTTGCCATCTCCCAACTAATTGGAATGCGACATTCAACAATTAGTTTACCAGTTAACAACTGATGTCACATTTGCTAACAGAGAACAAGTTGACCAGCACAGAACTGTATGCAGGAATTAAGTAGAAATTCTAAATGAAATGTTGTAATTTGAAAACACAGAACTGTATAGTAAAATCTTTGAATTTTAGAAAGATATAACATTGGCCTCATATATGGCAAAGAAAAACAAACTGGCACTGCTGATCTCAACAATATACCATGTAGGAAATATTGATAGGAAAACTTCAACAAAACAAGCCTGAGATGGTAACTTTCTAAAACAAAACCAAAGGTTTAGTTACCAGATGTTGATGCACATGATGCACAACTATGCAGCAATTATGATGTCACTTGAAACACAAAGCATTCGCCAATGGTTGTGTTTTACCCAATCCTTATATGTGGCATAAATAGTCTGACAGTCTACAAACAAAATAACAAGTGAAAAATACAATGGAGAAACTTTCCTACATTGGGCCTGGAAAGCATAAGAGATCATTCACAGCAAACAAAAAACAAAATGTTTCTTTCCAGGGAGCTATGCAAAAAAATTGTGGTATGCACTGGTGAGACGACAGGTGAAAAGGCAAGTACAGTATCACAAAGACCTTACTATACTACTACCGGAAATCAAAAAAGATTTCAACAGTGCCTACAAAAAATGATAGGAAGTGCTGGGCATGGTGGCTCACGCCTATAATCCCAGCACTCGGGAGGCTGAGGCAGGAGGATCTTGGGAGTTCAAGACCAGCCTGGGCTACAAAGTGAACTCAAGGCCAGCCTAAACTACATGAGACCCTGTCTGAAAGGAAAACGAAACATTCGTGCTATTAGTGTAAGCAATACTTGTGTATGGGACACGCAGTTTTCATACATGAAGGCTGCCTTAGGTGTGACAATTGAAGCAAAGATTATTGCCAAGTCAATTATTTTGTGACAGATTTATGTTTGCATTTATATTGTGGTTCATGTAGGTTTTTAAATCTGATGTTATCTTTTAGGTTGTGTGAGCAAGTAAACAAGCTGATTTGACTATTTTTAAGCACTCATTATACATCTGGTATTTTACTTCACTGTTATCCTACCTTCCTGCTAAGTGTACATTGTATAATACAGTAGGAATCTCCTGAGAAAAGAAGAAAACAGGAAAGGTGACAAGAAAGGAAAGTAAGTACATGTGCTGCAATGTGAGACATGTGCATGGAGCACGCAGTTTCATGTGTGAAGATTGCCTGGAGGGTGACAATTGAAGCAAAGATTATTTCTATGACAGAGTTCATTGCTGTTCAAATAGGCAAGTATTTCTGATGTTACCTTTTAAGTTTTGTAAGCAAGCATATAGCTGATGTGAAAATGTTGATGTAGTTATCCCAAATGCACAAAACATATTAAGAATTTAATATTTTTTTTATTTTATTGGTATTTTATGTTCCTGTTAACTACACTCATTGTATAACATAATAACTTCATCACAAAACAGCAAAACCTGCAAGATGTTAAGTATGTCCTACAAGAAGTCCGAGGCAGGAGGAGTGCAGCAAGTTTGAGGCCAATCTGTGCTACATGGTGAGTTCAAGACTCAGCCAGAACCATATGGCAAAACCCTATCTCAAAAATAAACAAATAAATAAATAGCCAGCAAAGCAAAACACATGTAACTGTTAGTATAAGCAATACTGTGTATGTAATGAGCTGTCATATGTGAAGACTACCTTAGATGTGAGGATTGAAGGAAAGATTATTTTTTTGGTAGCATTTTATTGGTATTTGCATAGGAGTTTGTTGTTTTTAAGACTCTGTACACCAAAAAAAATCAATGTTGAACGTTTTGTTTTTATAAATAATACATATTAAAGATTCAGTATTTATTTTTAGACTTTTTCCTATTACTCATTGTTTAATGTAATAAAACTCAAAACTAAAATTAATGATTCATATAAAAAAGAAATCAATGATTCAATAGAAATATTCTAAAGAATCGATGTGGATATTACACACCTACAATAATTTGCCTTTATGACAACACTGGTATTATGTTTCACTTAAGGTAAGCTCAGCAGCATTCATTTACTGGAAAAATACCTATTAAACAACTAACACTAAGCTACAAACTATAGCAACAAACTACACAGACAATAATCCCTGCACCTGAGGAATTTACATTACGCTGAAGGAGGATAAAATGTATGTGTTTTATACATAAGTGTACATACTATATACACCTCATATATATTTTAGATACATATATAATATGAGCTAAGAAAGCCTAAAAATTTAACAAATCAGAGAGGATGAGGGTAGGCAAGATTCTGACATTTTTAATTTATTTTTTGAAGACAGGGTCTAACTGTGTAGCTCGGCTAGTTTTCACCTCATTATATAGTTCTATGGTCTTGAACTTGCAGCGATCCTCCTGCCCCAGCCTCCTATGTGCTGGGATTATAGGTATGCACCACCATGCCTGGCTGGATTTTGAAATTTTCAATAAGTGCTGGGATTACAGGTATGTGCCACCATGCCTGGCTAGATTATGAAATTTTCAATAAGAACTCCCTGTAACTCATACACTATAAAGTAGTTGGCATCCAATTTCTCCTACTATTTTTTAAAGAATTTCTGAGGAGAAATAGCAAATACACATTTCAAACTGTCAACTAATGCATCAAACACTTTCCAAATATTACTTAGCTTTTACAAAAAGATACTTCCAAGTTAGGGCGTTTATTACCTTATGTTTCATGTTTAAATAATATTTTTCATTGTTTTTGTTTCTGTAAAAAGCCATTTCTTCTTTTTCCCAACTTTGTTTTTTAGCATTTACTACACACCAGATATGTACACTACACTACATGCTAAGGAAACAGATGAATCAGAAATGTTTTCTGCTCTGTCTCAAATGGCTTACCCAAATCAAGGGATGCAACTCTGCAGTGCACCACAAGAAATACAGTTATAGGATATAGAGAGGCACACAGTGGTTATCCCTATTTTGAGTCAAAACTCAACATCAATTTTATCCATGATACAGTCCTTTTGTTAATTTGTTTGTTCACTGACTCATCTGTTCATCCAGTTAGTCATTTAGTGATGGGGTAAGCATTAACTTGAATGATCATCTCAGTCAGACTCTATTAATGAGATCACAACACATACTGAAGAAATATAGTCTTTTATGCTCCTCAGGGCACCTACTTTCCCTACATTTAGCCATCATTTTCCCCTTTATGGGGGAGGGGGTTATTTTTGCCTGGACCTTTTTAAGATTCCTAGGATTCTGGTTAGTACACTTTTCCAGTCTTTTACCATCCTTCTTTACCCTTTTGTGTCTTCTGCAGTCACTGAGCCAACTGAGTGAATATGACTTTCCAGTGGGAACAGACTAAGATACTATCTTATGAGACTGAATACTCAAAGACTTATTAAGGCATGCAGAG